TATCTCATATATTAGTTTCACCTTTTAAGTTGCATTACTGAAATAAATGAACTTTTGCATGATATTCTAATTTTTTGAGTTTCACCTGTATTTGAGTGACCCATTCCAGCTTTTAATTATAAAGTATTTTCACTTTTCTAAAAAGCTCTCCAGCTTAACTTCCTGTTCCAAGATGGCTCTAATGCTCTCCTCACCACTTTCCAAGGGAGGCGGAGAAGAAAAAACAATCCCACCTACTCTTTAAGTCTCACTTTCACCAGTTATATCTCAGGGGGACTCTTCTCTCCATTATCTCTAACCCAGCTCGATCACACTGTCAATCTTCAATGCTTCCTTCCTGTGGCTGCCCCAGCTTCGGTCCAGCAAACGAATGCTGTCTTTTCCTGTCGGGTTTGAGAGCCTTCTCTGGATCAATCAGGGAGTTTGCGGGCTCCCTGAGATCAGCAGAGTGTGCTCTCTTCACTCATCGCCCCTTCAAGGTGATTTCAGATCCAAACGGACCTCCCGGCAGCTTGGATTTCGATGCTGTCCCCCGGACTCCCAAGGGACGCATCGTCTCACCGCGATGCAAGCTACGCCCTTTCTGAAAATAAACTGGTTCTTAGCAGTTCTTAAAAGTAGGTAAATACAACCTCAGATGCATAGGTAAAGGTAAAGGTTCCCCTTGCACATATGTGCTAATCGTTCCCGACACTAGGGGGCAGTGCTCATCTCCGTTTCAAAGCCAAAGAGCCAGGGCTGTCCAAAGACATCTCCATGGTCATGTGACCGCCATGACTAAATGCCGAAGGTGCACAGAACACTGTTACCTTCCCACCAAGGTGGTCCCTATTTTTTCTACTTGTATTTTTTTTACATGCTTTCGAACTGCTAGGTTGGCAGAAGCTGCGACAAGTAACGGGAGCTCACTACATTACATGGCACTAGGGATTCAAACCTCCTTTTTCAGATGCATAACACATGACATATTATACCATGTCATTTATTTTACGAAAAGAAAGCCAAAATGGGGAAGCCATGTGTGAAAAACTAAGTACATCTTACAAGTCAATACTTTGTAGAACCACCTTTAGCAGCAATAATTTGAAGTAATCGTTTTCTATATGACTTCATCAATCTCTCACATCTATGTGAAGGAATTTTGGCCCTCTCTTCTTTACAAAATTGCTTCGGTTCATTGAGGTTTGTGGGCATTTGTTTATGCACAGTTCTCTTTTGAGTTCCTGCCACAACCTTTCAATCAGGTTGAGGTCTGGACTTTGACTGAGACATTGCAACGCCTTGATTTTGTTTTTCAGTCATTCTGTTGTAGATTTGTTGGTGTGCATGGGATCATTGTCCTGTTGCATGACCCGATGTCAGCCAAGCTTTAGCTGTTGGACAGATGGCCGCACTTTTGACTCTAGAATACTTTGGTATACAGAGGCATTCGTGGTTGACTCAATGACTGCAAGGTGCCCAGTTCCTGTGGCTGGCAAAACAAGGCAAAATCATTACCCCTCCACTGATATGCTTAGTTTTCGCCAAATGTGGCACTGTGCATTATGGCCAAACATCTTCACTTTGGTCTCAACTGTCCAAAGGACAGTGTTCCAGAAGTCTTATGATTTGTTCAGATGCAACTTTGCAAACCTAAGTTGTGCTTCCATGTTCATTTTAGAGAGAAGAGGCTTTCTCCTGGCAACCCTTCCAAACAAACCATACTTGTTCAGTCTTTTTCTAATTGTACTGTCATGAACTTTAACATGCTGAGGTCTGTAGAGTCTGAGATGTAACACTTGAATTTTTAGCAATTTCTCTGAGCATTGCATGATCTGAACTTGGGGTGAATTTGCTAGGATGTCCACTCCTAGAAAGATGGGCAACTGTCTTCAATGTTTTTCACTTGTGAATAATCTTCCTCACTGTAGAATGATGGACTTTAAATAATTTGGAATTGGACATATAACCCTTCCCAGATTGATGGGCAGCAACAATTGCTCCTCTAAGATCATTGCTGATGTCCATACTCTTTGGCATTGTGTTAACACACACCTCAATGCTTGAGACCAGCAAACTCCTAAAACTTTGACTTTAATAGAGGTAGTCACACTTGATGATGATCAATTGATCAAGGGCACTTGATTAGCAGCACCTGGCTACTACTTAGCCTCTTTATACCTATGGAAGCAGTAAGGGTATACTTTTTACACATGGCTTCTCCATTTTGGCTTTCTTTGTGTAAAATAAATGATCACATGGTGTAATATGTTGTGTTGATCATCTGAGGTTGCATTTACGTACTTTTAGGAACTGCTAAGAAACAGATGATTTTTACATAAAACCATAGTACTCAGAGGCTGTACTTTCTTTTTCACATGACTGTAAATTCTGCTACCTGTTATATGATAAAACACTGTTTTCAGGGTTTGAGAATACTTCATGCAGCATTCCTCAATACTTATTTTTAATTCTTCTGTTTTCTTTTTTCACTTTAGTAGTTTCATACTAATTGATTTTCAATTTCAATTTTTTTTGCTTCCTCTCCCTCATGTAGATCTTTGTAAAAAGTTTCACTGGAGACTGTATTATGCTCCAAGATTTCATAATTTAGAATTATGAAGAGAGGTAATTTCTTAGTAACATATCTCCATCTTGCCCCAATCCCAGTTATTTTAAATTGACAGTTTTCAAAGGGACAGGCATGCCAGAAATTGAGAGGTACAGGCAGGGAATTGTGACAGTTGCTATAGATCAGGGGTGTCAAACTTGTGGCATTACATGACATATCGTAACTTTTTTCCTCTTCGCTAAACCAGGCATGGGCGTGGCCAGCACATGACACAGCCTGTGGGTTGTGAGTTTTACATCACTGCTATAGTTCATTCATAAATAAAACTTGGACTTTTAACTGCTTTCATATTATATAGAAGAAAAGCTGCAATATTTGGGGAAGCACACTGCTGCTGAATATGCCTTAAACCTGATGAGGGAGTGATGTCATAATTGGAAGCTGAAAAGGGGAAATCATTAAGTTTAATACAAGTAGTTCTCAACTTACAACCATTTGTTTAGTGGCCAAAGTTACAACAGCACTGGAAAAAGTGACTTATGACTAGTCTTCACACGACTTGCAGCATCCCCATAGTCATGTGATCAAAATTTGGGTGCTTGACAAGTGGCATGTAACAGGTGCAGTGTTCCAGGGTCATCTGATCACCATTTGTGACCTTGCCAGCTGGCTTCTGACAAGTCAGTGAGGGAAGCCAGATTCACTTAATAATTCCATGATTTGCTTAACTGCAGTGAGTTGCTTAACTGTGGCAAAAAGCTTGTAAAATTGGGTGTAACTCACTTAACCACCACCTTGCTTAGCAACTGAAATTCTAGTCCCAATTGTCATAAGTTGAGGACTACCTATAATATGCCACATTATATTAGAAAACTACTGTTTTTCTCCATTCAGCAAAGTGTAAAAAGTTTGCAAAATTCAAAGTGTAAATTTTGTGTGTACTTTTAAATTGAATCTTCAGTTCATACTTAATGTGTAAAAAAGTATTATATGTGTAGAGTATGGTAAATAAAAGGNTTTAAAAAGAGCTACAAAGAGAAAGGACCGGTTCCTTGCTAAATCTTGGGCATTTCTCAATCATCTTTATGATACCCCATCTGCCTTCGAACCTGTGTTGTCTCAAGGATTGGGAATGGGACTCCCAGCATTCCTAGCTGAAGGGAGAGAGAATTGGACTCCTGGGGGCTGCAGTCTGAACGCACATCACGGGCATTTGGTTAGGACAGCCTGTCCCAAATCACAATAATAACAATCGTCTTCAGTTCATTGCTGATCGGTTGACCAAGAATATCAGTCATTATATCTATGACTTGTCTTCCCTGTTCAGTAGTTTTATTTCAGGAGGAAACATCTCCATGATTCAGCAGGCAGAAGGAAGCCTCCAATCTTTTGCATTATTACAAATTATGTACTTCCTGAAGAAATT